GCTATATCCTGCAGAGTCTGCGCCATGGAACTGTGTAACTGCTAAGATGTTGAATGGTTACCTGATTAACCACTTTTTAACATCCCTAGCCTTTACTAGTATTAATGAGATGTCTGCTGACTCTCGCTGATTTTTGAAGAAAGATAATGATTGAGTGGTGAAATGATAGGGGATGCTGTTGCTGGTGCCGGAGCTGCCTCTGTTTGCAGCAGCTAGCCCTGGCTGCTGCGAACAAGAGCTGATGTTGGAGCAGACTTACTGAAAATCAACATTAATGGACTAATGAGCTACTCAGCCAGCTCTTTGAAAGATCTTGGATGCAAGTTACCTGGACCTGCTATTTTAAAAATATATAACTTCAGTGTCTTCTAAAAATGAGTAGTCCTGTGGCACCTTTGAGACTAACAAAAATATATAGTCCCATGAGCTTTCATGGGTAAAACCCACTCCCACTCATCTGATGAGGTAGGTTTTACCCATGAAAGCTTATGAGTCTATATATTTTTGTTAGTCTCTAAGGCTGTGTCTAGACTACAGGGTTTTTTCGAAAAAAGTGACCTTTATTTAAGAAAACTTCACCTGCGTCCAGATTGCCACCGCGTTCTTTTGAAATTAAATCGAAAGAACTTGGCTTTTTTTCGACTGCGGTAAACCTCATTTTAAGAGAAAGAATGTCTTTTTTTGAAAGTTATTTGTCTGCAAACAGGGTGTTTTTGACTGCAAACAGGGTGTTTCTTAAAGAGAGCATCCAGATTGTGTCAAAAATGAATACGGGATCTTTCGAAAAAGGGGTTTTTTTTCTTCCAAAGAACCATGTCTAGATGGTGCTTTCACTTTTGAAAAACCCTCTTTTGAAAAAGTGCTCAGATGCCATTATGTAAATGAATCTTGTGATATTTAAATTCCTGCTTCATTTGCACTTTCGATTTGCCGAATTTACATCCCTTTTTTGACAGAGGGATGTAGTTTAGACATACCCTATGGTGCCATCTAGTAATGGATCAATACCGTTATTAGGATTCTTATTTCCAAATATGTTTTTAAATATCTTGTTGTTGTCCTTAACTCTATTAGCCATAGATTTCTGCTTGGGTCTCTTTGCTTCCCTTAAATTCTTTTTAGAATTCCTGTTTCCTGATTTATATTCATTACTGTTAACTTTCCCTTCCATTTTATTATATAATATTTTTGTTATTTTAAAGCTGTCTTTTTTAAGCCAGATGAGTTTTTTTAATCAGCACAGCCTTCTTTCTCAATGACTATGATTTTTGGGATCATGTTCTTAAATGATTCCTAGTTATCATTCTCATTTTTCTGATTAAGTTCTTGCTCCCAAATGATTTAGCCCATAATTGTTTTTCAGCTTTGTGAAACTGTCCCTATTATAATACCAGATGTTATTCTGTTTGCGCATTTTAAATGTTAATTAAATCCTAATCACTTTACCTAAGCTACCATTAATTTTTTGTTTTGCGATTAGTTCCTCTTTATCTATGAGGACAAGGTCTAATAAAGAATTCCATTGTGTGGGCTGCAATATGTTTTAAGTTAGGAAATTATATATAATGTTTAGAAATATCAAGCCAGTTTTAATACTGGCAGCATGAGACCTCCAGCGTATGTAAATTGAAGTCACAATTTAATCTTCCAGGGATTTTCCCCCCCTACACATGAAAGATAGCCACTTAATAAGGTGGTCATCCTGTTCCCTAGTGAAATGTAGTGATCTGAGGCAGGACCAAAACCTTCTATCCTACACAACTTATGTAGCCAGTGATTCAGTTTTAGTCGCATTTAGAAAATGTTACATAGTACACTGGCTTTTCACCAAGTTTAGAGTTCCTTTAAAGTGTCTGGGGACTTCAGAATGGCTAAAGATATCAATTAATAATATAAAATTATGACTAGCAAAACTCTTACTGGGTGAGAATCTTTTATTGTCACTAGAAACGGTTATTTTCTTTCTATATACTTCAGTGTTCCCTTTCATATGAATTGGGATAGTAGCTATGCAGAACTTAAGCACTGTGTCAAAATCTGAGACTTAACTCTAGCTCTTTGTAAAAATCTCTTCTGTTGTTATACTTGCTATGCTGTTGAAAGTAAGTTACATGGTAAATGAAGTCCACTTGGGAGTTATTTATGGGTGATACTGTGGGCAGAATTGGCAGTTTGATGTTTCTTCTGTGGTGTGCCACATTTTTAGATGCCAATAACAAAAGTGTTGCTATGTATTTAAGAAATCTAATATTCAGGGTTTGCAAAATACTTTTGACTCCTCCGAAATGGTGAGTAGGAAGTCTCATGAGTAATGAGTGAGAAATGGCAGCAACAACTGCAATTAGTATACTAAAAATGGGCTGGACCATTTCAGAGCTGCTGTTCTGAAATAACTGGGCTGTAGTGAATGACAGGATGTCTCCCCATTTATTTACATTTTACTGCGGCTTAAAAAGTTTCTCCAATTGTACTTCACCAGGGCACTTTGCAGGCAAGGAAAGGTAATCTGTTAATGGGGACCTAAATAATGAAATACACAAGATCAGTTTCAGTGTTGTTTGAAATTGTGGTTCACACTGAAGGCTCCATGGTCTAGTGAACAGCTTGCTCATCTGGGACTTGAAACACCTAAATTCTGTTTTCTCTGCCACTGGCCCTCTGGAGTTGCCTCTCAGTGACACAGTCTCCTATCTCTAAAATGGAATTAATGATATTTAACTCCTTTGTAAAACACTTGAAAATCTAGTAATGTAAAGCAGTATTTGAGAGCTAGGTGCTATTGTTTGTTAAACTTTTGGGCCTCCATTATAAGAGTCTTCTCAATTAACTCTGCTTAGATAAGCTATGTGGAACAACAAACACCAAAATGATCTGGAGGCACACTAAAAATAAGGGAATGTATATAGAGGAGATTATTTGGAAATCTCTTCCTTCATCCTAAAGCAAAAGTTGGAGGATAGGAATAGCTACTAATTGTAGCAGGTTCAAGCAAGGGAGAAAATTTTTATGTAGGTCTGGTTTCATAACAGCCAGCTTCTTCTTTTTTTTTTTTAACTTGTCTGTACTGCTCCACAGAATAGAAATGAGCATGTGATGAAAGTCATGCCTTTGAACATGAATGAAAGTGAGCATGAGGGCAATGAAAGCCTCCAATTTGTATCTGTATATGAAAAACGTGGTTGCCTGAATCATAGCAACTGCAGTATGGTGAGTCAAAGAGTCAGCCCCTAAATGTGAGGGCCAGTTTTAAAAAAGGCTGCATGTCTGATTAGTGCAAATATCTGATAAGATGTGATGGAAAAGTCAGTTGTGAGCGACAGAAGGTATGTTAGTCTTTTTGTTACAGTCACGGCCCAGAACTTTCATAGGAAATCTGTCTTCCATTTCGGGCTTCCCTCTTGGTGACTGGTTAATTTTTCAACCGCCTAATACTTAGCATGCTGCTCAACACAGATGCTTAGATTCATCCGTACTCCCTGCTGGAAGGTAATACCCTCTGATGCTGATGTTAGACATCTGTTTCCATTGTACTCTTGCCAGAGCTTGCTTTCAGTTAGTAACATTGTGGTTAATGTATCCGCTGATTCTTTCATTTCAAACAACTGATTTATCTACTCTTACATGGTTTCATTGCACATTCAGCATCTTGAGGATGATTTCAGCTGTGAAGAGGTTCAGTATTGAGTTACTTAGAGACAAGTTCTAGATGGAAGGCTGTTCATAGAGCATATGGCAGTCTCTGAAAGCACTGGTTTATAAGACGTTCAGAAATTCTTGGAGGTTCATATGCTACCTGCAAGTAAGATCCCAAATAGAAATTTTTTAAGATTCCACAGACCATCTTTAGCTGAACCCCATGAATAGTTATATAACAACATTAAGGTGTTTTGTTGTAGAGATGTTGATCGGTAAGCATACTGGTAAGAATGAGGCTTACCTGTTAACCAGCCTTTGCCAGTTAATTTTGGTGATGGTCAGTCGCCCTGGATTGGAGCAGCCCCTGCTATGGTTGGGACAGGTGGCAGGACCTATGTTAAAACAGTTAACCAATTAAGCACTAGCCTTTAATTGGTTAACTGTTTTAACGTCCCTATTTTGTTGTGATTATTGAGTATATATCAAATCTAATAGCATCTACACAACTGCTTGTACAAGTGACTCCCTTCAGCAATTGCACAGGCATTGTGTGGTGGTGGTATTGATTGTTGTTTGTCATTTGTACTCCAGTAACATCTAGATCTGTGATGTCCAACATACTAGCCACATGTGGCTCTTTTGCCAGTTGAGTGTGGCTAGTTTACTACAGCAGTAGCCGCCACTATAGTACCTACTGCTTCAGAACTGGTTGGACACCATGGACCTAGATGATTCAAGTAGGCGGCGGCGGCCCTATGGTACCAGGCACTGTAAAGGCATTTTGGTCTTGTCCATGATAGGATAATAAGTGTATTTTTTAAATGTGTTCGCTAACGCATTTTAGCTAGTACATTTTAGATGTCTTGTGTAGACATAGTAAATTATATTTTAGAAACATCGGTAGGAGCTGGGATTCACCTCTATTATATTTAGTATATTTTAGTGTATTAGCATCTACAAAAGAGTTTAAAAACGTTAGTTTAAATAGAGCTGATTTAAAAAAAAAAACCCTGGAAATTGTCAATGAAAAATGGGCCAAATTTTCAAGGAAACTTTCCCCATTTTTGATCAGCGGAAATGAAAACATGTTTGTTAACCAACATATCTTAACAACTCATTGTTTATCCTAGTGTAGGCAAGCTTATAGTGAATGTCAATCTCTGCCCCAAAGAGTTTTCAATTTAAAACCTCTCATGTCTTGAATTTGTGTTGAATTACTAAAAAGATTTTTGTTTTGATCTCTCAAATCTTAGTATATATAACTAGTTACATAATTTCTGCCTGGCATGGTTAAGCACAAGTTATTGATTCTAGTTCACTTGATCTATTACCACCTTTGAATGAAGTTTCAATCATTAATAATGGTATTCTTCTCCAGGTGCCTACTGATGGAAATGCTGGCTTGCTGGCAGAGCCCCAAATTGCCATGTTTTGTGGCAAACTCAATATGCATATGAATGTTCAGAATGGAAAATGGGAATCTGACCCCTCAGGGACCAAGACCTGCATTGGAACTAAAGAAGGGATTCTGCAGTATTGCCAAGAGGTAAGTTCCTAGATTAACAGAATGTGGTTTTTTCATGCAAGTAAATAGAACTTTTGTTTAAAGATTGAGTCCCCTGGAATTTTAGGCCAGGTCTACACTGGCAGAGGAAATTGATGCAAGATATGCAACTCCAGCTTATGTGAATTGCATACCTGGAGTCGATATCCTTTGTATTGATTTTTTTTTTTTACTTCCCTAATTCCTCACAACTGAGGAGTTCAATGGCTGATGGGGGCACCCTCAGCGTTCGATTAGGTGGGTCTTTACTGGACCGGCTAAATGTACCCTGGAGCATTGCTCTTTCCAGAAGTGTAGATGTGCTCAAGCTGTGCTGTTTTCTTTTCCATTGCCTTGCCCTTTCATCCCATTTTAGGAGGTTCTCTTCAAAGCCTGTATACCCTGCTCCAATTGGCTGAAGAGACTATTTGCAAGTAATGTACAGCACTCTTCCCACTGGGGCTAATTGCATTCAATGTACAATGAATTCATTGTTTGCAAAGCCCTTTGAAGATTAAAAGTGCTGAAGAAATGTTGCTTATCGCCATGAATATCCTAGTTCCTGCTAGGCATGTTTTGAGGGATTGGATTGTGATAACCTTAATGTCATTGGAGCACTCCACAAACCTACACCAGGTTAACCCACACTTACTGGTTTCTGTGGCACAATAAATCATTTGAGGATTTTTAGTATAAAGCTGGTGCTGCAAATGAGGTCACAACAAATGATTTGATGTTGGAGAGCAGAAATGTATTGTCCACTCGCTCCAGTCCTGTGAACAGCTTGCGTATCTAATTTTGTTTTGCCCCATGCTGTGGTATTATGATAACCTTGCACCAGTGTATGACAAGTGGAAGAGAAAATGAGGTTTTATGCCATGAAAGAAAAGAGCACAGCTTGAGCTACTGTTTTAATCCCTCTGCCTTCTCATCCAGAGTTCCTTTTTTTAAAACACAGGCCACTGCCTTCCCCCTCCCCCCCAAAAAAATTTTGAACTGCTGTCTTACTCATAAATGCCATACTAATTCTTTCTGAAATTCCTCTCTAAAAAGCAAACCATTTCAGTATTTGAATCATCTTCAGTACTCTGATCCATATCTACTTACCTGTCAGATGTTCTTTCTACTCCTTGCAGTGATTTTTCTTGGTGTATATCCTTTATTAAGGTGTGTCAAATGACTTGGCTTTGAAAAGCATGGGCTTCATATCTGTGTTTTCAAAAACAACTTTCAGTCTTCTCTTGGCTTCCTTGGGACTTGTGTTTAACCAGTGTTTGTTTATAATGAACCTATTAAAAGAAATTTCAAACAATTAGGAAAACAAAAGTCAGGCAATGGAACTACATCAGATATTGCCCACTAGGCTACAAATCCACAAAAGTATTAAGACTTAAAACAAGCTAACAGAAAATATAACTTTTTAAAAGCAGTTAACAGAAATAATACTATTAGGAAATTTCAAGGCATAAATATGCAGTGGTCTGATGCAGTGCTCCCTCTAAGCAGCAGCAGCACAGCTTCACAGGTGTTTCATCAGCCCCACCCAGTCAGAGGCTCAGGACTCCATGCAGGGAGCTGACTGACTGGGTGGGGCTGTTTAATCACTTGTGAATCTGTGCTGCCATGCTGCTTAGAGGGAACACAGCCTGATGTCCTAGTTACACATGCTAAGAGAGATAGTGAAAGGCTTAAAAATAGAAACATGGAAAGTGGAAGTTGACAGTAATGGAAACAAATTGAATTTTGAAGTCCAGGGTGGTAGAATATATCAACAACATTTTAAAATTAAAAACTACTAGAAGTCAAAACCAAGGTACTTATGGAGAACAGAATTACACTAGTTAGGCTGTATTTTATTATCCATCACTTTGTGTCTGGAAAAATAGAGGGCCAAGACAATGGGTAAGCTATGCTGTGTGTTTTCAAATCCAGTGCAAAGTTGCTGTGTGTATACTCACTACACATATTACATGCCCCTTCAGAGGTAAATTTAAATCCAGAGTCCTCTAATCGTGTGCATTCTGGTCCCAGGGATGAGGCAATTGGACTTTAAGAGCTCTGCTCTCAGAAGTAGTGGGAGTACTATCTATGAAATTTGCATCCTGAGTGTGCCTCTGGAGATACCAGGCCAGAGCAGTGCCTGGAGTCTGTTCAAACTCTGGAATCTTAATTAAATATTTGGATCCTGTCATAGCAGTGTGAGTTCCTGAAAGTGGAGGTTCAACTAGATCAGCAGTTCCCAACATTTTCCAGATGGGGACCCATTTTGACAATTCAGGAAGAATTGGTGATGCAGGGCAATTCCAAAAATGTGTGAATGGCTTCTGAAGAGCCTGGGGAAACACCTGGGCAACCTTTTGAAATGTAGTGGCGACCCATATTTGGGTCCCGACCCATAGGTTGGGAAACCCTGAATTAGATCTAAGACAAGGTCATAAAGTAAGCCCCTGGTTAGCTCCCTAAGGCGGCATGAGCCGGGACTAAGCAGTGCCCACTCACGCAGCCCCAGGAGTTAACCCCGCTGTGGCTCTGCCTTTTAAATATAGTAGGAACCACCTGGCTCTTGTTATGTTTAAAATGCAGAGGTGCAGCATCTAGGACTAGGGGAGAGCCAAGAATCAGCTGATTTCCAGCACTCGACCAGTCCCCTGCTGTGCAACACTTACTACATTTAAAAAGCAGAAGTGTAGTGTCTGGAACCAGGCTAAGGATGCTAAGTAACAGTTAATTGACTAGTCAAGTAGTCAATGGAATTTTCATCAGTTACTCGACTAGTTGATAGGCACTTCTGCATTCCTCCTTTGAAATGTACAGGAGCCCCCGCTGGGGCTCTTGTACACTTCAAAAAAGGAATGCAGAACTCCGCATACAATCTCAGCGGGAAGTCCTGCTGACTCTGGGCTGCAGGGTGTGCCAGCTTTGAAATGTATAAGAATCCCCAGCAGGGGCTCTTGTGCATTTCAAAGCTGCAGCGCAGCATGGATCCCAGGGTCAGTGGGGGACTCTGAGTCCCCTGCGGAGCCCGGGCCCCATGCTACGCTGCTGATTTAAAATGCTATGCGGAGCTAGGGTCAGCTGGGGCTCCCCAGCTGACTACGGGTTCCGTGCAGAATTTCCCCACAAGGTCCCAGGTTCCGCAGAAATGCCGCGCTGAAGCCCGGAATTAGCTGTGGAATCCCCAGCTCACCCTGGGCTCCACACGTGGCAGGGCCACATAGCTGAGCTGAGGCTCAGCTGTGTGTTGCTGCACCTTTGAACGCCGCCTCTGCGTTTGAAAGGGGAAGCCGCACAGCTGATCCCTGATCAGTTGCACGGCGCTGCCCCTTTCAAATGCTGAGATGTCGTTTCAAAGGGGCAGCATTGCACAGCTATTCTTTCATTGTGGGATCAACCCCAATGTGGTTTGATACAAAAAGGAATAATGTTACTGATCTAAGATAGGGATCTTAAATAGCAGGAAATTGAATAATCAAATAGGTCATGAAGAGTGGCTGCCCTTGCGACCTCTTTCTCCTCCCTCCCTGCTCAGTGGGAGACTCCTCTGGCCTCCAGCTGCTCCCAAACAGTGCGTGCACACATTATCGTTATGCATTAGTAAGTGCATAGGCAAAGATAAATGTGCAGAATGTGTCAGCACAGTCAGACCTGTTAACTACTGCCTCTTTATTTCTGGTGCAATATTCTTCAACCAGTATTAGCAACTATTTTATTGGTGTGTTAAAATGTGTGTGTGTGTGTGTGTGTGTGTGTGTGTGTGTGTGTGTGTGTGTGTGTGTGTGCAGCAATTTTTCTAATTCTAGTTAACTATCCTTCCCCTGTCCTTTGATTTACCTCGTATGCTATGGGCTGTGGTTACAATGACATGTATTGTGTGCATACAGATGTAATGTAAAATAACACAGGACCACTTAAAATGACCATAATGAATCTGTAAATATTTCCGAGCTGCTCCGCCAACAGTTTTGATACAAACTGGAATGAGTTTGCTGGTCCACAGTATAAAAAAGGTTAGGAACAAGGTTTCCTGTAAGTTGCGCACCTGCCGATTGGCACAGCAGTTTTCTGAGCTCTGCTCAGAAGTTCAAAGCTCTCTTGCAGGCAGGGAGCTCAGCTGACTGGCGGGCAGAGCAGAGGGTCTCTCACTGAGCAAGCAGCTAAATGGAACTAGCTACTTGCTTGGACTGAGAAGCCCTCAGAGCCCATAAAAAAGGAAATAAGGAGACAACTAGGTTCTGGGGTGTTGCAGATATCTGAACTTAACGATTTTTTTTAAAAAAAGTCTGTTACTAATTCATAGATGTGTTGCATTAAGACCAGATCTTTTCTATTTGGTAGAATTCTGGCTCCTAGGAGTCAGAAATAGCAAGTACTAGGTTGAGCTGTTAGGTTGATACATGTACTCTAAGGGTAGTGTTAATTTTCTTTTTTTAATCTGTTTTCATATTAAATAACATAAGCATTGCTTCTTGTTAAATATCCCTTGTTTAAATATATTTTCTTCCACACACATGGATTGCACACACAACTTCTATCTCAGTATTGATGGTGCGCACAAGAAATATTAACCCGCCCAAGGATAGAAAATGTTAGGAACCACTGTTTCAAGGCTTTTGAGAGTCCTCGCAAAATTCTTCCTTTAGGAAAATATGTATATATCCACAATGGGGAGAATTGCTTTTGACTGGAGTTCTGTTCCTATGGAAAAAGATTTACTAGAAAAAATTCAGGCAGAACATTCATCTTTCTTTACTAAGAGAGGTGTGAGTGTGAGTGTGAGTGTGAGATATCTCCTAAATGGTAAGAGCTAGAAACACCAAATTTTCCACGGATACTACTGGTTTCGAAACTTAATAACTGGATTAGTTAGATCTCAAAATCTGTTCCCCCAAGAGCCCCAGTTGGGCCCACCAATAATTCCAAAAGATCTTTGAAATGGTAAGAGCTAGAAACACTAAATTTTGCACAGATACTCCTGATTTCCTAACTTAAATAACTGGATTTGT